GGCCATTTGAGAACTGTGAGTATGCCCCATCTCTTCTTTGTTTGCTTTCCTGCAACTCCTCCATGCGTCAGTACCTAAGGTGTGTTTGACAACCAAGTTTTAATTTGGTACAGTTGGCATTCTGTCACATAGTTCAGGTGGGTACAAGGCGTAGGCTGCAAAGGAACAAGTAATAGGTTTATTCCATGCTGAAAAAAAGAAGAAAGAAAAAACAACGTTTTGGCTGTGAAGCGTTTCCGCAACACAACTGAAGAAGGCTCCACGGCCGAAAAGTTGTTTTCTTTCTTCTTTTTTTCAGCATGGAATAAACCTATTACTTGTTCCTATTCTGTCACATAGTCATTTAGCCCACAGAATGTTTCCAGGGATTTTTGGAATGAATTTAATTTTGATTTGAGAACTAAGTGTTTTTTTCCCTTCTCATTCTGGAACTGGAAATAAACTGAAGCTACAAAGCCCACTGATTGAAACACAAGGAAAAGGTTCTTTCCATCTTCAACATAATGAAAAGGATTTCATTCTCTCAGTTACTCATACTTTGTTGTTCATGCAGAGAAGACAGTGACTGGGTTGTTTTTAATGAGGTAATATAGTGTGTCCATAGGAATTGACCATGGCATTAATACAGTAGCAGACATTATTATCATCCAAAATGTAATTTTCAGAGCATGGGTGTGAGAGAGTGGCTCTTTCAGACTTGAAACCTGATTTTTATCCTGGTAATCTGAATTCTCTTAGAGTACTGGAATCTGAACTTTATTATATAGTATAAGGGAGATTTATTTGGAAATTGCCTTTAATGAATCCGTTGGCTAAAAATATCTCCTGAGCTGTTTCTTAACAGTAGGTGCTTGAAATTTTCCAAGATTGTGAGGAAAATAGAGGGAGCAAAGTACAATAAATCTTAAAGGTAAAATGCTTTAGTCTGCAGAAAGAGTGGGAAGAAAATTTACTTTTCAACAGGACTGAAAGCACACTGGAGTTGCTTAACAAGAAGAGAGTGAATGTCCTGACTTGCTCAAATTCTGTGACAATCCTTCAAACCTTCTCTCCATCAACAATTTCCAACCAACTTGACAGAGCTTCTGCAAAATTAAGTGAGTTATCCAAAAATATACTTCCTCTGGAATTTCGTCCGGATTTCTATATCTTTGGACCCTATTTCTCACTTCCTTTTACCTATTCTCACATTGTGTTTCTGATGTTGTCCTTATATTTATTCCAGTACCTCCTCTCATTCCCCTAAATTCTTGAAAAAGGATCCAGAGCATTTTTTTCTTTATACTTTTAGGTATTTCATTCAGCTCTACTTTGAGCTCTACTCATTTGATTGTAATTCCTTAACACTTCCACATTTAATGTGTATACTTATAATGTCAATTTGAAATTGGCATCCTGAAAGTGTACAGCTTTGCTGTTATTCTCCTACTGTAATAAAAAAAGGTTTTGGAACTAAATGACAGATTTGAAGAGCACACTTTTATACAGAGGTTCTGAAACATCAGGCAATTATCATGTTATTGAGTATTTTATTAAATGAGTAATTGTAGGTACATTGTTAGCCTTTGTCCAGAAGGACTGAGGCTAATGGAATCCCTTCTCCCTAAATACTGTACATGGATTGAGTCAAGAGACTGCTGCAAGAGATTTAGAAGGAGGTGGACTTGCAGTCCAAATTTCTCAAATTGTGAAAAAATGAATTGATGGTATCACAATTTTACCCCAAAAAAAGTGTAAAATCATTGACTTTGTGAAACTACTGTATGGTTACCATATTGTCACAGGCAGATGAGAAATCGTTGGTCTCGCCAAGGCCCAGAGCAAGAGTTGAGAATTGTGAATGTGAAAGAAGAATGTGCGAATTGTGACGTGAAAGTGTATTTTAGTTGGCTGACAGGTTGCTCTTTTTTTGCAATACTCTAAAAAATGTGTTGCCTTGTACATTACGTGTTAGTTCATGAAAATATTAAATACTATCAACATCATATACATAAAATCATAAACATAAAACACTATTATATCGGTTTATTAAAATACTCTAAGACATGTTTACGGTGCAAAAGGGCCGCTTTCATGTCCGTGAAAAGTTTTTTTTGCCTCATTCTAAAATCCAGACAATGACGGCAAAATGACTCTACACACATTGAAACTTTTGTCTGTTTTGTGATGTAAATTGGAGGTTGTACACATTACCGTGTACATGGTAGTTTCTTTGTGGTTTGAAATCTACTCATCATTCCCGATTCATTATAACCCCAAAATGTTGCAGGTCCCCCTTAATACTCAGAAGAAGAGTGAGGGGGTTGTGACTCACAGATATGTGGGGGTATGATTAACCTCTCTTGCAAAACTGTATTTAAAGTCGTGCATCAAGAAACTAGAGTCTCTTCATAATAAATGAGATACAGGCCTTTTGGTCTCCTCTCTTCTTTAACATATTTTTTCTCCCACACTCTAATTATCTTTGGATTGATTTATCACTTCAATTAAAGTAATATCTAATTTTGTTTCAGTATTTATTTATTATGCAACCTTTGGAGGAATAATTAGAAGAGATGGGCAAAAAAGACTTTTTTTGACAATTTCAGGAGCATTTGCTGAGATGTAAACTCACCATTTCAAATGACATGAACTCTGATGGAAAGAAACATCATCAGAATTAAGACTATTAAGAATTAAGAATATTAAGACTATCGGATGTATCACCTCTCTTATAAAAACATCAGTAAAGAGATCCTGCATCACATGGCAACCCTGTTCCACTGGTATCTGGTATTCTGCCCTTGTGCTGGAAATCCCCTGTATCTGCTGGTTTTCGTTTCATCTGATTTGATTCTCATTGGCACTAATTCATTTTTCATTAATCCACATGATTGTTTGAGCAGGTGCAGATGGGAATACTCAATAGTGTTGCAAACACATCCACAATAAAAGTTATTTTCCCCTTCTACAGAGGTATAGTTACTGTAGTTACATTTCAGGCAGAGCACCTCAATGAGGGTAGTCCTGAAACTGACTAAATTGTACAGGGTTAATACTATTCACAGATATTATCTTCAACACTTTTACAGTTGCCTGATTTTTTTATTTAAAAAATGCCCCCAAATTGATACATTTGTCCTGTGATTAAGAAAAAAAAAACTAGGGGACACAGTGTCTAAAGTGTCTAAGGTGTTTCTGAAACAACAATAAGAAAAAGAAAGAAAAGCTGTATTCCTCTCTAGAGCTCTGGACACTCTAAAAGGCCAATTATTACATAAGAGATGGAAGCAGTGCAGATATGGGAAAGTAAAAAATACAAAAAGGAAATTAATACTAAAATGTTTGAATTGGTAGTTCTCAGAACCACAGACAGGAGTCAGCATTTTAGCAGATAAGAGGGCATAAAAGAGGGCATGAACTGTAATACATCCTTAGTCCTGGAGGCTTTTCTTCCCAGTTGCCTTCAGCCATGAGTGAAGGTGCTACAAGCTGAAAAGAAGTCTTCATGGATGATTAACTCTTTCTGCTTCATGAAAGAGTTTGTGTTTTAGCCAAGAAAGCACAAGGCTTGCTGTCAAATCTGCTGAGATTGAACCTACTTGACGCATGGTACATACAGTACTTCCCACATTGCCTGGGGCTGGAACACTGAGGCCTTGAAATGCAGATAGGGAACACTGTTTTAATTGGAGCCCCAGGCTCTCAGTTATGCCAGTTCACCTGCAGTCCCACTGTGGCGCTGCACATCTCGGTTAGCCTCCGCCTTGGCAATTCAGA